GGGTTTTCCGCTTTTTTGTAGCTCTATTCTTTTTCCGTCTTGATACAGATTCGCAAATGACTGGTCTCTTTGCATTTTCGTCAAATTTAGATTAGACGACGCACGATGCAGATATATGTTTTGGTGATGTATACTCCATCTTTAGTAATCACAAACTCTACAACTTTTTCTGTGCATTGTTCACATGTTTCTATATTTACTATGTCGTACTTTTCGTAGATTTTAGTGTTATCGACTCATGTGTTAAGCTCCAGATCAATCGTCCTTCTTTTTTTACGACACAGAGATTTCTGATATACACTTTCTGAAATGATCTCTCTCTCTCTCTCTCTCTCTCTCTCTCTCTCTCTCTCTCTCTCTCTCTCTCTCTCTCTCTCTCTCTCTCTCTCTCTCTCTCTCTCTCTCTCTCTCTCTCTCTCTCTCTCTCTCTCTCTCTCTCATGTAACCTTTCTTCAATGAACTCTGACGTTGCCATTCTATTCATAACGTTAGCGATGGCATCCCGCTATTTTCGATGGGTTTACATCGGTAACACGTGATGATGTACTCCGCCCATGTATTGCGAATCTATGATCTTAAAATAGGTAATATAAAAGAGTGAGAAGCAACAAGCTTTGTAAAAGTCGACTAAAAATGTATTTCCCTTAAACACAAAATGAAAATGTAAACATAATCTAGGGTATTAGGATTTAAATACCAAATAATCTTTGAATTACTAACACTAGTCGGGAAAGAATAAAGTTTTGAATAAAATTTAGTGGTATTCGAAATAATGTTCAACGCTGAAGGTGTTGATGTGCTTGGAGTGGCTGGTAGTCTCTAATGTACTAATATACCAATAGCCTGAATTCCAATGATGTGCCAACAATCTTTTAATGAATCACAATAATCAAATCCAAGATTTCCTTATTTTAATTCACTGTAATTCCATGTCAATGTCTCTTTCCAAGAATATTATATATGAGCATTTTGTATTTCCAGTGAATAACTATTTTTGACACAAATAATATGCTAGACACAACAGTAAGACTGGTTCTGTTTCACGATCTTACAGCACAAATAAAATAATTTTCCCAGTAAACAAGGCTATAATGCCCTCTACTTGACCTAAGTCACGATTGCTAAAGAACGTATTACTTAATGAAAACTTCCATTCCAGAAGAATCTGTTACTAGAATTATAATAAAGAACATGATAAACACAATGTCTTTGACTCAGACCAATATAAATATGTTTACTTCTATTGATAATGATCCTTATACTAAACCATCACTCATAAAAAAAAAAATTTAGTTATGTATCTATGATTTTGGTCAGGTAGACAATGAACATAATTTTGAACAAGGTCGGCTACAAAAAAAAAATTTAACTAACTTATAGCATATAATTAATTTTTTGTTTAAAAAAATGCAAACAAACAAATTCAAATTAAATATACAAAACACTATCGCTTCTAAATTTTCGTAATTCAGTCTGTAATAATCCTCTAGGAATGTTAACATTCGAAACCTTGGAATCCTGGCTCTCCGAGTTTCTAGAAGCGTTGAGCCATTTCTTGGCATTCCGTTTATATCAGAGTTATAGGCAAAATCAATGGAATGTCACGCTCATACACAAATTCACTCTGATTCTAAGAAATATTGATTATTGTCTAGGATATGTCACCGTATCTAGTCCATGGTGGTGATACATTATTTACTATCACTGATCGTAGTTTGGAATGCTTGCAAGTTTTTGTTTGAGAAACTTCACATTACAGTTAGGCATACCCACCCGTATGCCGCTAATTGTTCATTCTTGCCTTACAAAGGTTGTTGGTTCATAAATTATGTACAGCAAACTGAACACAGTCAAAATTATAATGTTCAAGATAATCCTAGCAATGAAGATAGACCTACATATCTCAGGATTAAACATATCTATCTTCGTTCAAAGACGACCGACCCCCACCCCCATGATGACTTGACACTTATTGTGTGCAGCTTATATATAAAATTTGTTTTCACACAATATTTATTGAACCATCTTGTATTATTATGTCAGACATTTATTTTTGGCTAATGCGAAATCGGTTTGATACATTCATTAATGTACAAATACTGTATGTAGTAAGGATTTATAATATCCAATGTTGCTTTTAATCCTATGATTTTAATATTTTAACTTTTGCTTTTTTTACAATTTGACCACATACATTAAATTGTTGTTACATCGTACCATTGATCATCTTGATGCTTAGCGGTATCACAAATATCTATATATTTGTTCACAACTTCATTTGCATTATCTATAAGCATTTCCATTATTAAAGAGACTTATAACCATTTCAATTTGATCTCCATGTTTTGACATTGAAATAATTATTATAAACGTTGCACATGAATAATGTTGGATATATCAAGTGTACGGCTGACATTGTAATCAGTTTGTTTAGCATTATACTCTTTGTATTACAGTTGTACGAACAAAATCTTCATTGAATATTTTTCTTGTTGAAATCGATGGAATGCCGCATAATTTTAAGATTCTTTGTTTCTTCTGTTCTGCAAAATAGCAATATGCTCAATGTCTTACTTTTGCCATTGCCTTACCAAAAACAAAGTTAATCATTAGTTTATATAAATTAGTTTAGCGATCACCATCTTGTTGTTTCGATTCACTTATTAGTTTAATATTATGCTTCAAATAGGAGTTCATCTGTGGTCTTTCTGTGAATATCATTATTCTGTGAGGTTTTGTGAGTTTCAGTCCTAGCTGCACAACAATAATGTAAGTATTATATTGGCAGAACATATTTTTCTTTTTCATTTGATTAAGTGCTTGATTGCTTTTCTACCAATATATTTTTACCTAAACAGCTCTTTTGATAATCTGATAACCAGTGATAGTTCAATTTGATAGCTTTCATGTGCTAACTAATCACTGTGCTCGCCATGCAGTTCTGGTAAACATTTCAGACCGATATCTAAAATATATTCTGCACGGTTACTAACAACAGTATTTAATATTACAACAATATTTATTTTGTTCCGGATTAACCCTTTATATGGACAAGGTTGTGTCACTGACCAGGAATATACTGCATTTTTATCAATGTATAAAATGCACGAGGATGGTTAAAGGTTTTATCATAATCTGGTAAAGGATATTATTTGCTTTTCCCTATATTTTTCCTCCAATTTCTGATTGATTATGTATCAAATAAAGGTTTATCAATATCAAAACAAACTAAATAGTTAAACATTTGATCCCGTATCATCTCGATAAACAATTAATTTACCGCTTAAACCAAACTTCGTTGATCTTGAGTATATTCTTTAATCATAATTTCTCTTTTACACTGGATTATATCAGCAGGAATTAATAAATTAGCTTCCAAATCCTGATAGTCTCATACCTATTGCAGCCAAATATATCCCAAATCAACCTACCATATGCAGAATCATTATCAGATATGTTTTCTTTTCCTAGGCTTGAATAGTAATCCTTTTTCTCAGGTAAATGGTTTCCTAAATTTTTAGCGCTATCTATTTTTGTGGAGACGTGTATCGTTTATCTTGATGACCTAATCGTGTTGTCCATGGGTTTAGATGGTCATATGAAAATGCTCTCTCATCTTCTCTCAAGTATCCGACATGCAGGGCTGAAGACGAGCTATTCAAACGGTAGGTTATTTTCCCTGGTCGTGTTTAACAGCTAGGACATATTGACAGGTTCAACCTAGGCTGAAGCCGTCAAAGCATCGTCTCAACCTCAGAATTTGCATGACATGAGAAACGTTCTGGGGAAACTATTCCTATTACCATCGCTTCATCAAAGATTTTACAGATGTAGCAAGACAATTGCAAATGCTGTGAAAATTTTCAGTGTACATCTCAGTGCTAAGAATAATTTGAGAAGTTAAATGATCTCACGTCACCCCATTCCCTATTCTTAGATACCCAAATATAGACAAAAATTCATTTTGGACAATGACGTAAGCCGTATTATCTCAGATGCATGATGGTAGGGAAAAAAATAATTGCCTATTCCAGAAAGGCACTCGCCAAAAACTGAGAGAAATTGCTTAATTATCCGGAAAGAAATTGTCACAATGGTATGTTCCTTTCAATACTTTCATTATTATTTACATGGAGTCGAGTTTCTTGTTGGCGCATACCACTGCGCATTGAACTGGTTCCTTAAATTCAAGAACCCGGAGGTATAAATAGCAAGATTGCTAGAAATTTTAGGAACGTATGACACTATAACATGGTCCACACCAAAGACATGGCGATGCTGACGGTTTATCACGAGGCCTTGCTATCCATGTGACAACTTTAAAAGGCAAAAATTTAAAGGCCATTACACTTCTGTACGAACATCGGGATGTTAGGCGGAATGCGTAATGGTTATGACGACAGACCTAATGGAAAGCTATGCACATAACGTAACTTGATTCAGAAGACGATTGAATCTGTAATAAGATTGGTTCATGTGACTGATGTCAACAGTCATAAAAAAGAAGGAGAATTATCGGACAAAATCAAAATGTAAGGAAATGTGTTTTTAGAACGTGGACTGCAAAGCAATTTTGTGGAATAGATTACAAGTCAAACAAGGAGTTCTTTACAGAGTCCGTTATGTCTCCACACGAGGACCAATGCATCAGTTTCTATTGCTATTATCACCGCAGTATGAAGTTTTGAAGTCATCCCTGGTTCTGGACATTATGGTATAACAAGAAGACTTGAAAGCGTAAAGGAACGATTTTATTGGCACAGCTACAAAGATAGTGTCTCTAATGTGCAAAGGTGTAGAGTGCCAAACTAGGAAAACACACCATGTCAAAACCGAGAGAAAATAAAAGTCTTGCACTTTGACATTATGCCACAGACGTGTAGTATGATGTCTCTGCGAGTCGTATTATATTGACACCAGGCAGACCATTCTTAACACTAACCAGTCAAGGCTGATCGTCCAGCAAGGCAGCTGTTAGTATTATTTATATGTCTCTGGTATGACTAAACCGGGGTTCGAACCCGCGATCTCCAGCATCCAAGGCGGACGCTCTAACCACTATGCCAACGGAGCGGTCCTGAGTATAGAACGTCAATTATATCTAATTTTCTCGAAGGTTAAGGTACTTTTTCTTCATAAGTGTGATGAAATTGTTCACGTAAAATGTTTGATTTGCTTATAATTTATTGTGAAATGTATGCTATTTTTTTGCGGTTTGAAATCGTGAGCCATTTTTACAACTATGTGAATTGGTCATTAGGCTTTCCACTCTTAATATTTTCAGAATTCTTCCCTATATAGTAATATTTGTAAAAAGTATGTCCTTCAATATCCCGAGTGTATCTCTAAAACCTATAAAAAATAAGGATGAGATCTGGTGTTCTGGCAGTTTTGGTTCAGCTGGGTTCCAGTGAAGGTCAAAAAGCCAAATAAACAAATATGCAAAAGTCTATATCTGAACTAAAGTATTAAAGTGTCTTTGAGTATAAAAACAAGGTATGCTAATTACCACCGGCACAATAAAAATTAAAGTGTATTTGGCCTAGATTCATATATAGCATTCGTATATCCTTCCGTTTGTGTGTACTCCCTACACGTTTAAAAGTAAATACGTTGCTACGTCTCTAGGCTCTTGGTAACACTAAAAGTAAAAGTAACAAAAACAAACAGTGAAGACAACAACCTTTGTAAAATTTAACAAATAATTTATTTCCCTAAAAAAAGGTAAAAATGAGAAAAAACTTTTACGAATCAAATCCAAAACTAATCCAAGAATTAAAATAGAAGTCATATTATTAGATAGTCCTAAATGAATCTGAGTTCGAGTCCTGATGAAATTCAAAATGGAGGGCGGTGACGTCTGTTGTAGCCGTCAAAGTGCTGTTATCAACTATTCCTTGTTGAATCACAGAAAATAATATTCCAGTTTTAAATTACGAATAATTTTCAATACATATCTTTGTCCAAAAATTCTATATGAGCACTAAAATATTCCAGGGATAAGAATCACTAATTCCATAAAAAAAAATTTCAAACTCAAACTGGTCACAACAAAACACCTTTAAGTGTCAATGATTCGAGCCTGACTTAACACATACTTTAAAGAAAGAAGTTATGCATTACTTAAGACGCAAAACAGATGCCCTTATGAGGGTCACGTTGTCACCTTCCAGAACGACGTAGAAGTTTTTTCACATGACAATTCTGACGTACTCAAGGAACGGCCTTGACTGAAATAAATGGTTCTTACTCTGGGAATGAAAAAAGAAAGATTTTAAAAATTTGTTTACTAGAACTCTTAAGGACGGCAACTTCATACAACGTTTCTGTTACTGGATGTTTATCGGAATTAACAGTAAGGTCAAACAGAATTGAAATAATTTTCTGGACAATTTCAAATCCAGTAAATAAAGTTACATTACAATAACAAGTAATGATTTTTTTTGATAAAAATTAAAATTAACAAACAAATAATTAAATTACATAAACATAACATCATCAAGGACACAAAAATGCATAAAATTTAAATCATTTTATTCATGATTTGACTGTCGCTCAGGGGTCCACTTTTTGTGTTTTAAAGCAAACGGAAGCCTGTTCACAGTTCATTTTTTGGTTTCTAGAATAGTCTATTTAAATAACGACTGTGTCGCCTGCGTCCACTATTTGCATTGTTTATTTTTTAAATTTCTAAAACAAACTTAACAAATAAAAAGGAGAAACGCTTATATGCATGTTTTTAAAAAGATGTTGATCTAATGCGTACGGATTTATTGAGATTTTTAATGACCACGAACTACGTCACACATTTTGCTTGAAAAGATATACTCGCCGACATAAATATTGCAACCATAATACTAAAGAAACTCGTTTGATTCGAAACGCCAACAAGTTGGCAGTTTCTTAAGAGGAAGTTATAAATCGATGAATGAAATGCCTAAGTTTTGTGCATTTTTTATCCTCGATCTTTTCGTTTCAAAAATTGTTAGTGGTACAAATAAATAGGAAGGTGTGCAAATACTATAATAATTCTTAACTCTGACCGTTTGTGTGTCGTCACTGCCGATCACTATCTGAGAACAGTGTTTCATTGGTCATTTTTCAGTATAAGCTTTGTCGTTCAGACACACTACTAATGCTGATTATAACGTTTCTCATGAGTTTTTTCAACGTGTATTTCCCTCATATCAGGTAAAGAGGTAAAGACTTCCACAGAGATATTTGATTAACATTACTGTCACCGTCAGGTACCCTTTGAATATCAGTATTACGATTTGCATTATCGAATTTCCTACTCAGTTACGTGTAACACTTTGAAATGAAAAACTTTCCAGGAATTTTGTAACTTTGGTATTACTTGGATGTTGAAGTAATCTACATGACACAACGACACGTTGTGCAGTGTCATATCCAACCATTGACATCAGGTTCCATACTATATCTCTACTTATATTTACCATCATGCTTCAAAACAAAAACCCAAGTCTAGTTCCCAACCTTGATTCGACTAGCAAAATCTTAACCACTTCAGTACGTCACACGAATTATATTTTGGTAACCATTAACTTATTTTTATGTGCAAAAATTTATTTTGGCAAACGAAGAATTTGAGTTAGAGATAATATGAATCATGATTAATTGAATATTTAGGCTGACTTTCACCTGCTGTTTAACACTAATAGCAATGTTGTCATTTCAACATGCTTTGATTATCATACCTGTTGTACACATTATTCTGTACACATCTTTTACAAATACATATTTCTAATTTTAATCACTAAAATTTGTGTGAGAAAAATATATAACCCTAGAACCAATCTAATAAAATATGCTGACCATTTATTTGTTTTGCTTTGTGCTAGCATAATCTAAATAAGAACTCATGTGATAAAAACATAATTTATTGGTATTGCAATGCACTGGAGAGATCAGTAAATGAGAAAGTTTTGAGATGTCTATCTATTCAATTTTATGTGGCCCTACCCCAGACACGTTACAATATTCTAAGTACGGACAAGACAAAAACTACGCCATTCCACCCCCACCACCAAAGTGATGGCATGATTGAAAGATTTAATAGAACGGTGATGGATATTTGAAATAAATACATCTCGGTGGATCAACGTGATTGTGATGTCCATTTACCCTTGGCAACATTGGCATATTCAAATATCAGTATGGAAGAGCAATGTGTACTCCCAGATCATGCTGAAGATAGGTATAAAAGAATAGAATTACCGGTTGATTTACTCTATGCATAACCACCACACGCGGGGGACGCTAAGAACCTTTCAGATTATGGTATGTAGCATAGGTGATGTGGGATATATACCAAAAAGCAAGGGAAAATCTTTATTGAAGCTACCTTCAATAAGAAAAGAAGATATGACAAAAAGCAAATCAAATTAAGTACAAGGTAGGAGAAGTCGTTTGCATCAGAATTACAAGCGAAACGGAGGGAGTGTCTCCTAAACTGCAGGACAAGTATGAAGGACCGTATGTTGTCATTGGATAGATCTCATATTTGGTTTATCAATTCAGTAAGACGCCAAATGCCAAAGAGAAGTTTATACACCATGACACTTTGAAGCCTTTCATGGCGAATATCGCATTTGGGTCAAACAACATACTATCTCGCCTGAGTGAGGGGAAAACAAAGACAGGAAACATACATAATTGCGCAAATATCATCGATACTCTGGTAAGTAAAAGGATAATGAACAATTTAATGGCAACTTTTGAAACAGTGATGCTCGCAGAAAAAGATTACCGCATAATCTATCGTTGAATCAGCCAGCCTCGTATCTATTATGAGTTAGTTACATTGTGTAAAACACTTGTGTAGTTCCATGATCTTGATATTGGCGACGTCGGAGATAACACGGTTGTTTGTGTAACCGGACATTATTGTACACTACGTGTGATTTGTTTTTATGCACGGTTGGTAAATATGCGTGAAATTTTTTTAGGGTTTTGTTTCTGTTTCTTATTTTGTTAAATTACCATGTTTGATGTCAATATAAGAAACAGTCTCACTGATAGGCTAGAAGAGTAACAATAACATCCATTTCCTCCTGGTGAAGAAACTTTATATAACCCGAATTTGTGTTGTGTCTGTCATTATAGGTCAGATGACGATATTCAAGTGCAGAGAATGCTTTGCCACCCACACTTGTAAGCATGGGAACCGGATCAGCTATTCATTATGGTAGCTGCATATAGATGTGTGCGTAGAGTAGTGTGTGTGATTTGGATTTTTAGCTTTAACTATTTTTCAGTCATATTGCTACGATGTCTGCAGTGTGGCAGTTTATAGCGATGTCTAGCACTGGGCCATCATGCCGCAGACATGTAGCATGATGTCCCACCCAGTCACACTATCCTGACACCAGGCCGACCAGTCCTAACACTAACCTCTTAATGCTGAGCGCCAAGCGAGGCAGCTTTTAGTACCGTAGAGCAGACCCCCACATTTGACTTCGCACATGAACATTGTGCACTACGTACTTGGTAGTGGTTATCAAGCATACTCTCCAGTCGGTAGCTGGAGATTGGAGAGGACAAGAATATGGACACTATCATGAGTATGACGACAAATTGACATCCAGAGTAAGGGGACGGCAAAGAAGAGACATGGGAACACATGGAGAAAAAGAAGCAAAAGAGAAGAACCAGGAAGAGGAGACGATTCGTTCAGATAGTATTTCAAAACATTTATTCGCCTTATTTGATCGGAATGACATTATATTACTGGATGAGTGGGCTATCTTCTCTCGCGTATATTGAGCTGAGACAACCATTCCTTCCGTCTCCACGAAGAATATCAAATGTGACATTGGAAGACGCCTAACAGTGATAGTACGTTGGGGTTGGAGAATATAATACTGGCACTAGAGTCCCCACTCAATTCGCATCTGATGTTTCAGCTATTTCGAGAGAAGTACAGGCGTATGTCAACCTCATTCCATTATCTTCCTACCTAGCAAAACTGTCAGTGGCCAAGAAGAGAATCCTGTTCTTGTGCAGGATGGACCCAAGCATCATATTCCCTCGGTACCAACAGAGGGAGCCCTGTTA